CAGGTCTTTTTCCTCCATCTGTGCAGTGGTACTGTAGTGAATCCAGGAGCTTCAAATCTCCAGGAACTGATCATTATGATCCTGTAAATTTGCCATCAGATTTTCCATACACTGCAAATTATACATTCCTCTATCCATTAATGGAAAGAAGTAGGTACTAAGGATTTCCAATGTTGTGGTATAACTGCCCTAGCTGCACTTATAAAATAAAACTAAGACGACTGTTCTTAGCTGACCAAGGAAAATTGTTGGAAGGGCTAGTTGTGGTGGTTACATCTAAACACGATGGGGGGAATTTATCAAAGCAATTGCAACAGTTTTAGCCACTTAGAACATTTTTTTTATGTGCAAATCTGTTTAGCTTCTCTTTTTAACATGTGCGCTTGTTTTGACCAGAGCGCAACAATGCACATGGTGGTACCATCCATTGTGTGATACAGTAATGTGCATTGGGGTGTCCTCCACTGTCAAAAATGCAGCAGGTCTGATTTTCTTTTTTTATGCACATATATTACACACCAGGATGAACCTGGTGTACATAGTTGGCTAAAGCACTGTGCATTAGGGATGCAGCGATACCGGTTTTCTGTTTCAAGTACGAGTAGCAATACTTTTTTTCGGTACTTGCCGATGCTGAATACCAATACCAGAAGTCCCATTAAGGAAGCCAGGTGGTGTGTAATGACTGGCCACCTGGCTTCCTGATTGGTCGGGAAGCTGGCCAATCAGGAAGCTAGGCGGCGAGTCTTTACATGCTGCCCGGCTTTCTGATTGGCCAGGAAGCCAGCTCCATGCTCCCTCGTCGCCAAGTGACTTCCTAAAACCAGAAGTTTGGGTATCAGTCTAGACATTGGAACATTTGGATGAGGACTCGCCCAAATACTCGGTATCGGTACCAATTCTAGTATCGGTATTGGTGCATCCCTACTGTGCATCATAAACAGCTTTTATTTAATAAGGTTTTACCTTTTTTTTCATATCAGCATTACTAATCTACTGCATCCTTTTTGTATGCACTTCTTATCTACTTGCACTCTACATGTACTCCCGAAACCGATGCACATCACTGCTCAAGGTGGGTTTCTGGATGGTGACAGCAGTGCAACATGCCTGTGCAATGTGTATCAGTATGGCCAAATGAAGTCACTAGTGAGGGAGCAGGAATTGGAACACCAGGACAGTATGTCATCCCCCAAAACAGAAAATGTGCAAGTCCCATATGTGCATGTTCTGTGTGACTTTTAAAATTAGTTTAATATGTTAAAGCTTATAACATTTTAGTGATCAGGTTTACATAAACCATTTTAGTAATCTGTGTGTAATCATGACTTTGATATTTACCTATAACTAAATAATCTGAATAATATGTTGTCTGCCTTTTGTAGTCCCCTCTTAAGACTGATGCTTGAGGAATGGTTCTGAAAATACAGGACAAAAAATGTAGACATGCATTCCACAAGGAGTACAAGACAGATCAAAACTTGTAAGGCCTAAATGCTTGAAGCAGAAACTTCAAAGGGATAAATTAGAGGAAGATAAGGGGTGTAAAATGGTATGGTCTTCTAATTCTGGTATGGTGCTTAAAGGTCATACAAAAAGAACAGGGACTTACTGTGACTCCTTTTCTTTCTACATTCAGGTGTTGTGCCCTCTTCTCTTTCTCTCTTGGTAGTTGGGGGGTCAGATGAATGCTCCAGCAGCCTCTAGCAGCCGGGATAGATCTTCTAGCAGCAGAGATAAATGCTCCAGCAGCCTTGATGAATGTTCCAGCAGCCTCCTCCCTTCAGGTCCCGCGCAGCACTCCACAGCCTGCCAATGGTAGGTGGGCAGTCTCCCTCCCAGCCAATAGCAGCAGAAGTGGGCGGAGGGAGCTGCCGTGGCCGCCGAGTAGCCCGATCAGTGACACGGGCATTCGGGAAGGCAGCCGAACATGCTGTTCTCCTCGGCCGCTGAAGTAGCGTGTTAGCGCCGGCCCGACGGGGGCCGTTTTTAGAGGCAACAGAGAGGCCCGGGGGGCAATTGCCACCCTGCCCCCTGGCCCAGTCCGCCCCTGGTGCTGAGAGACTAGAAAAACCCATATCTCCCCTGGGTCATCCCACCCCTCGGGGGGAAAAAAAAAAACTAAACTAAAATAATCAGACACAATCAGAGATATTCTAAATGTATTGAAAAAAAATTGTCTGCAGATAATTGATAAGGAATTATCCCAACATTTTTATATACAGAAGTTGCAGAATATAGTGTGATTTTGTTTTTTTTCCCCCACTGTGCAATCTTCTTTTCTTTTTAATATATTTGTTGAACAAGCACTAAATATTCATAAAATGTTTATTAATGGTCAGTCTTCCATACAAGGAAGGCTTGTTTTTGTATGTTGGTGTAAAGACAAAATGAAAAGTTGACCTGCAATCTGTGCTAACCACCTCCAACTTCATAATGCCTTTATGTTACAGCAGTTGCACAGGGAGTTTAAATATGGCTGTTTAAATATGGCTGTTTAAATATGGCTGTTTAAATATGGCTGGCCTAATAAGCGTCAGTGGCAAACAGGGATTTTAAAGCATTTCTAAGCAAAAATCAGTCTTCAATTCTAACATGTGGGGGCACAGAGCTGGGTGAGATACGTTCTGAGACTTCAGTTGGGCTTTAAAGTGTCATCTGCATTTTCAAATATTATCACAAATGTTGTTTAAACTGTTGCCATTAATTTCACTTATTTATTCTTTATTCTAGTTTATTGGTTGGATTCTAATTGCACTAGTTGCCTCAACTATTTTCTTACTCAAGTGCCTGCAGCACTGCTGCTCTCCTTTGAGCTACCACCAGCAGTCATACTGGAACCAGTACCGCTCCAGTGAGAAGGAACTCTTCAACCGCACTGCTGAGGTTCATGCAAAGGTCCTTGCTGCCAGTAATGTCAAGGAGTTCTTTGGTTTTGTGGCTTTAAATAAAGAAGAGAAGGAAATGGTAAATGAATTCCCAGTGGACGAAGCACAGCCAAGCCCCCAATGGAATGAAATAACTGGAGTATATCTCTATAGGGAAAACAAAGGTGTCCCCTTGTATAGCCGACTTCATAAATGGGCCAAAAGGTTAATTGGGAATGGTGCAGATGTGGGAAGCAGAGAGACGGCATTGCTTGCAATCTGAGACAATGGACATTTCACTGGCAGCAGGAACAGCAGGAGAACACAGAGCTATTCTAATATGCTGGGGGATTTATAGACTGTCCATCATACCTGCAATGCCTGGAACATCGTTCAACCTATGCAGTTTATCTTTGTCGAGACAAATTGATTTGAATAAACCCGATATTTGGACAAATGATCTCTAATCACCCTATGGAAACTGAGATCAACACCTAACTTGATTTTTCTTGAGGTTTTCCTATTTTGTTACTTTTAAGCAGAGCATACACCTTTTCATTTCATTCAGTATGGCAAAAGACAACACAAAAACCCTCTGTTATCTATGACTTAAAGGGAATAAAAGAAAATATTCAGTTCACTACTTGGCAATGACAGAGTACCTTGCCAGACCTCACTCTGACGGACTTGTGACCTAACTCTGAGAGAAGCTACCATTTTGTATCAGAGTGTAGTCTTTCAGGCCAGGTATTTGCCAAATAGTTTAATCTCCAGTGAACAACCGGCCTAACAGACTACACTCAAAACCAATATGGTTTGATACAAAGTGATAGCTTCTCTGTGGCAGAGTAAGGTTATGTGACTGTATGGTATGGGAATGGACATGTCTTGAAAGGTTAATTGTTACAGTAGAATCCCTGGAAACCTTGAACTAACTTTTCCCTACATTGTAGGGATATCAGATAAAGTCTCCAGAGAGGAGTATACACTTTTGTAGCTTATCTCATCACAGCACAGTACGTATGACTCAATAATTTCCATCTTAACAGTTACCACTACTGTGCTGCTGTCACTGCCCACCCCTGTCATAAAATGTAGTCTTTTCAGGCAACTTGTACAGTTGGTAACATTTCCCAAGTGACTGTGGCTGATGAAGTACTATTATATCTAAACAGATAAACCTCATATTACCCAAAAGCTAGTGGTAAGAGAAATCTGAGATCATGGCAGCTGGGGGGATCTAAGAGGCCAGTACTGCTAGATACCAGAACAGAGAAAGATCATTTCAGTAACTTGGCCTACTGCCCTTTACACAAACTGTTTCTGTAAGCTTAGTCTCCTAAAGAACACATTTCAACCAACAGAACTTTTTTTTCAGTGATTTATATTCATAATCATTTATTACCAGCCCACAAACAGTAAAAAGGAAATACTTGAATAGTTTGTTTTCCCTGCTGAAAATGTCAGCCTTTGACTACCATTTTATAATGACCTGTGCAACAATCTACTTTGAAGAGGCCTGAAAGACCATTCGCTACCACATTGAGAGATGGCTATTATGTGGCAGATGTTCAGTCCTCATGTTTCCATGTGTTGGATGCATGCAATACATCCTCTTTATAATGGCTGTAATGCACTATTTTGTGTTAGCATCCTCATTTTAAATTTAAAGCTGAACTCTGGGCTACTCCTTTTTACTTGCCAGAATTTGTAGTCCCATGACGCTGCAGTCCCAAGTCAGTTCTCCTCTTCTGTGCACAGGGGTAAGAGCCCTTCTTTAGATGTCTATGTCATCACCTCTGTAATATGGACAGTTCCTATTGGCTTTCCAACAGCGGGGTCCTCTCAGGATTCAGAAGATGCACTGAAGTGATGATCGTGTGAGGGACTGGCAAGGACCAGCCAGCGTGGGCACATCTGCAGTGCTGGATTACAGGTCCCCTGCACTGATGAGGGACATGAACAAACTCGGGTGAGTATAAAACACCTCATAAAGTATGAGAAAAAAAACAATCGTAGAGATGGCCTTCAAGTGAATGCTGCCTTTGTAAAAGCCAAATGCTTCCTTTAAAGAAGAACTCTGGGCAGAACTTATATTACCCCTGCAGTTGGTCTACCCCTGCACTGCAAGGGTTAAGTGCTCATTGTGTCTAGGTGCTTTTTTCAGACACTTTCATACATGAGGTCTATAGTGCAATGCATTTCAACTGGGCTATTGTGCCGTGTCACAATGGAAAGTGGTTCTGTTGCAAAGATCTGTTTAAAAAAAATTTAAGATTCATTCAAGAGATTACGTTTGTGTACACCTCAGGAATTGTAAATGCAATACAAATATATGTATGAATACTTTGAACATTTTACCTATTAAATATTTTGTATTTTCACAAAAATCTTTGCTTTAAGTTTAGTGTTTTTTTAAGATGTGACCTTTTGCGGTGACTGTATGCTGGGTAGAGTACTTGTAAAAAATGTTAATGTGTATCAGTTTTGGAAAGAGTGGGGAATGATTTTTACTGAAATCGGGGGCGGTGTCAAACAGATTTCCCCTCACTTCCTGTCCTGTTGACAATTCTTTTAACAGAAAGCAAGTGTCAGGAACTCAACAGCAACAGACTATTTTTTTTTTTAATTTAGAGTAGGGGAAGGCTAGAACCCCGATCAGATTTGTATTTGTTTGTCTCCTTGTTGTTGTAGATTTTTCCTTCGCTTCCTGTCTGGTGAAACTGTCATCAGAAAGACAGGAAGTGAGGTTAAAGCTCTCTAGTAGAGCCCTGCATAGTAGTGAAAACCCAACCGGCATTCTAAACCTCCTTCACTCTATTCCAAAAAGTCTAAACTGAACTGTTGAACTTCTCTTATATGCTCTCTTTGGTCTGCTAAATAACACATGGTTGCCGTTTTGTTATATGTGGTTCAAGAAGAAAATACCTGTTGATCCTGCCAGAAATCTAATGAGCTAATAACATCCTGTAGTGCGCTGGCAATGCTGTATTGAATTCTCAAACAGTGTTATTAACCCTGTGTATGTATGTATGTATGTGTGTGTGTGTGTGTGTATCTATAGATATATCTATAGATATATCTATAGATTTATCTATAGATATATCTATATAGAGAGAGAGAGAGGGATAAGTATTTTGTAGTCCTAACACATTTGGTAAATGAAGATCGGATAACCACCAGCACACATGAGGTAGAATCATAAATCCTGGTTTAATTTGTTCAATTGTCGTTACAATTTGTCAAAAAAAGTTGAGGCCAAGCAGGGTCCCTTCTTCAGGGCAACATGGTGACACACTTCCTTTTCTAGGGTGACAACATGGATACAATACAGTGAGCAAGATTTGTCACCCTGGGACAGTAAGTGTGTTGCTAGCAGGATTACCAGGTGAAAAGAGTCTGAAAAAAAGAGAACTTTGGGCCTCTGTTGAAGGCTTTTGGGCTTGTGTTAATGGCATCCCTTTGACATCAGTGGGAGACATTTCCAAGATCATTCAGATGTAATTGACAGGTGCACTGGACCTGCAATTGACATACTTATGACCGAACAAAAGCCAATTGATGAAGTGAAAAACTAACCTTGACTGGTTGCTATGGCAAAACCATATTTCTTTGCTTTTGAGACCTACAGCTGCTAGAAAGTGAATGGGGAAACACCAGACTGACAGGCCCACAGAAAGATAAAAAATATGTATACTACCCATAGGGGCAAACGGAACATGCATAGTGCAGTAACCTAGTGACAGGTAACGGTCACACTATGAGGGTTATTCACAAAGCTGCCGAAGGCAGCCGAGTGAATAACCGACCCGAACGCTGTTCGGCTATTCACTTCAGGCTTGTACGGCTAATTTCAGCCATACATTGGCTTGCTTTGGCTGGCTTCGGTTTGGCCGAACATGCTCAGCATGTTCGGCTGAGCCAAAGTGCAGAAGGAGTTCGACTCATCCGATCTAACATCTGGATCGGCTGAGCCGAACCTCCAGCACGCTACTCGCTGCCGTTCGGCCTACTCTCATAGGGGCCGAACGGCAGTAAGTGACTAGCCGAAGGCCACCGAGCGGCAGGTACCAAGCAGAATAGAAAAACAGTGAAAAAAAGAAGTTCTCATTGTTTAATGACAGTTCAGCGTCCCCTGGTTACCAGGTAACCAGGGGACACTGAACTGTCATTACAATGAGAACTCGGCAGAGCAGGCCATGATATCGCAGCCGGCTCCGCCTTTTTGTCATTGTAAGTTCAGCATCCCCTGGTTACCTGGTAACCAGGGGACACTGAACTAATGACAGCTCGGCGGAGCCGGCCGTGATATCACGGCCGGCTCCGCCGAGTTGTCATTGTAATGACCAGGGGACGCTGAACTGTCATTGCAACTGGCCCAGCTGTCAGTCCGAGGCTTTCGGCCGGCCGTCCGGCACGCTTCGGGTTTCACCTCGGCTCAGTCGAGCCGAAGCATATGCCCTCGACTCAACTGAGCCGCTTGGCCAACTCCGGGAGCTGTACAGGCTATAGTGAATAGCCCGTACAGCAGCCCTAGGCCCCGCGGCCGAAGCAAGCTGAAGGATCAGCAGGAGCTACGGCTGATCCTTCGGTTATCTTTGTGAATAACCCATTATGTGTTGCATTAAGGGAGACCATCAATGTTGAAAAAATACCTGCACCATTTTTTTAATGCACGGATGGTGCACATCACAGCATTGCAGTGTGTTAAAATGTGTTTTGTGGTGAGTTGGTGTTGACATTCAAAACAAATAACACAATGCATTGCAAAAATGCATAGTAGACCACAATGCACAGAACTGGATGCGTGTTAAATCAGTGAAAACAAATCCTTTTTATCTTCTGACTCCTCTCGTAGTGAAGTGACTTCCGAATGACTGGTGTAGGTTAAAGTGTCCACCCAAAACATTTTGTCCCAGATTGTGTTAAAACTCCTGTCAGGTTTTTAATGCTGTCCAGGGCTCTGTAGGAGTGATTTCCCTTAACTTCCAGTCCTGGTGACAACATTTTATCAGACAGAAGTGATGGAAACAGAAGTCTGTGAAAGGAATGTAAATGTCTTTCTTTAGAGAAGGATAGATGCCTGTCAGATTTGTATTGCTATATGTGTCCTTGTGGATATTCACTTCCTGTCTGGTGAAACAATTTTTTCACCAGGCCAGGAAGTGAAAGAAAATCTCTTTATGGGCCCGGTCACACCAAAATCAAAGGGAGATTGCAAGTGGTCCATTGACTTGCAATTTCAACCTCCATTCTGTTGCAGGTTTTTTGTTTTTTTTGTCACT